ATACAAATCTACGTGTGATTCTAATCAGTTCTATCCTCAGCTAAAAGACCACGACGCTTGATCTTGGCCATTGGGCCTCCTTCTGGGTCCAAGAAAGCAAAGCCGCAAACTCATTTGTGTCCTGACGGCCTTGTTTTAGGATTGAAAAGAATTAAATCAATCATCTTATTTGAGTCTACGACTGTCTAGTGGTAGAGCCTACAAGGCCATCCAACATTTGGCTCTTCACATGTCCTTTGGCGCTGCTTTGTCCACCATGCCCCAGTAGTAGTCACCACCTCGAATTCAGGGACTATAATTATTGGGACTATGGCCTCCAGCCCAATAGCAAAAGGAATCTAAAAATTAGCAATGCCCTCCAACCTACTAGCAACCTACTAGCAATGGTTCCAACCTACAAGCAATAGCCTCCAACCTAGTATAGCGATGGCCTCCAACCTAATAGAACTGTTTTCAGAACTTTGCTTGACGACTTTCTTGAGTTGTCTGGCCTTCAGCTGGCTTCTCGCCTTGCCGTGGTTCTAGCACCTGGCCGCTCCCGTTGCCAAAACTGTAAAGCAACGAGATCGGTATATTTGTGGGATAGTTTTGACCCAATTCAATATCAGCTCTTTTTCCTTCAGAGGGAGAAATAAAACAGAATGAGAGCGTTCTTCCTGAAAGGGCCGCCTTGATGGTGATGCTGGTATTGGCGAAGACAGCCTAAACATGCAAAATTGAACCTGAACCAATGATCACCTAAAAACAGGCTTATGCACTTGGCAAGCTCCAACTCCCAGAGTGCACAAAGCAACCCTACTAAGCATATTATTTGTAAGAGAAACATCATCCTTAAAAGCAATCGCAACTTAGCTCAATCTCGATCCAAGTTGCCATTGCCCGCAGCACAAAGCAGCTAGCTTGACTTGCAAAGGGCTGCAAGGAGAATTCAGCTGTCAAAAATGTTCGGTTTCAGCGCAGCCAAGTTTGAATTCCTAAGATCTGAGATTGAACGAAACATATCAAAACGAGCGCGTCTCGATTCGGGAAGAGCGCGTCGCACCGCTAGCCATGCGGATGCATAGAGCCGCCAGCCTGGACCTGAGCGAAACGCGGATGGCCTCCAACCTAGCCCAAAAACTGGCAGAATCTGTCCGTTGTGATCCGTGATCCGTGACTGCCTAGGTTTGGATTCTGCGTCTTTGGGTCAACACGAGATTCCACTGACTGGAGGTGCCAAGTTGACAACCAGCTTGCATTTCATGGCCCATTTGATCACGTTGTGCCGCAAGTGCCCTGGGCCACCCGCAGCGATTAGGAAGCTGAAGCGCCACTGGCGATGAGAAGAGTTCTGCCCTGCGAGAGTGCGATGATTCATGTTCTGAAGAGGATCAAATCTCTGCACAGCCGTCAGAAAAAAGAAAACTTAGACATAAGAGCAAAGGCCTCCAAATTACTAGTGATGGCCTCCAAACTAATTACCAGCGATGGCCTCCAACCTAATAGCGATGGCCTCCACCCTACTAGCGATGGCCTCCAGCCTACTAGCGATGGCCTCCAACCTTTTAGTGACGGCCTCCAACCTACTAACGATGCCCTGGCCTTTCAACCAAAGAACAATGTATGACAACCGTATGGCCAAAGACAGGAATCATGTTAGTCTGTGCCTGCGAGGTATTATCCTCGTACAGGACTAATTACAGTATGTGGCCAAGCTTGTCTGGAAAGCTATAGGATAAGATTCAGACTTGTATGGGTTGTAGAAGTAGCGCTTGACCTTGCGACTCTTCATTTTTTGGAACTCTTTCTTTGTTCATTCCTGTGTCCTTTTGGTTTTGTCAATTCATTGTCACGTTTCCGAATTCCGCGACGAAGTCCAAGCAAGAAACTTGTCAAGAAAAAGAGCAAGAAAACTAGAAAAATAAAAGACTATATCATGTCTTTTGTCATGAAAAAGACATTGAAAAAAGGTTGCTTCGAAGAAAGACTTGGATTCTCATCAAACACTCATTCCGAGGTTTTGCTCCAAGATTGTGGCCGTTCGTACTCTTCGATGCACTAGTTGGATGATAACCTGACGCAGGAAACACACGCTTTATCACGCTTTTCTTGGCCTTGGATATCCTCTACTAGCGAAGAAAGGTGTCCGCTTTACAACGCTTTTTTGAAGACTTTGCTTATCGGAGTTCCAAGCTCCAAGCAGGTCGATCTTCTGTCGCCTCTGCATGGCCTTGGCATGTTGGGCAAATGAATGAAGAAACTCATGCTTGAAGTTCTTGCTCCTAGTAGCGTCCTTGCTCCTAGTAGTAAGGCCAGGAGCTCCTAGTAGCGTCCTTGCTCCTAGTAGCGATGCCCTTTGCTCCTAGTAGCGTCCTCAACTCCTGTTTCGGTCAATCTGAATTCGGGCGAGCTAGGCGCCCCACCTGTCCGGCACTTGCTCTCGCTTCGCCTGAACTGGCTCACATCGGGCCAATTGCGGAACTGAGGGATGTAGAAAATGTATGAAATGTGCTCATCAAATCTGACCATTCTGCTCTGGGAAAAAGGAACTGGATATGGGTTGACTCGGTGGAGATATCCCCCTCGCGCCGTGACGGAGAAGATGGAGTCGGCCTCCAGTATTCAGATTGGTTGCTTTGGCAACAAGAAAAGATGAAAAAAGACTGGCACACTTGGAAATGAAGCATGGCAGTTTGCTATCAGGTTGGAGGCAGTCGCTCTTAGGTTGGAGGCCATCGAAAAGAAATGAAGCGTGATGAAAGATCTTCCAGGAACGCAAGCAAGCGAGTGCAAGCAGCGCAAGTTGCAAGTCTAAGCATTAGCTATTAGGTTCTAACAGCAATGGCCTTCAACCTAGTAGCAATGGCCTCCGACCTAAGAGCGATGGCCTCCAACCTAATAGCAATGGTCTCCATGGCTCCCTGTCGGTTTCCTGAACTCCTGAGCTTCTTGCATCTTCAACTCCATCCGCCTTGGGTCTCCACTCCAAGTTGTTTTCACAGAGAGTCCTTCCATGGTTTCTAGTGTAACTTTCGTTCAAAGCGTTCCTGCAGGTTGTAAAGGGCAAAGGGATGCAAAGGGATCAACGGGTAAGGAATTAACTTTGTACAGGGGTTTTGAGTATGTGCAGTCCAGAGTGACTGACAGCTGACGCTTTCACCGGATCGTGCGTCAGTACATCGTATATTATATATATAATGTGTATATAGTATTATAGTATGTATAATATGGCACACTTACTTGGAAATCAAGCATGGCAGTTCGCTATTAGGTTGGAGGCCATCGCTAGTAGGTTGGGTAAATATGTTGTACATCTGCCACATCCATGTCCCAAGGCGTCCCGAACAGTAAGGGTTGGTCTGACTAGATTCGAACCGCCTCTCTCTTCCGTTTCCTGCGGCTTTGGGTCCAAGCCTTACTGCTTGAAGTGGTACATGGAAAATCCACGGCTGCACCTCAGAGTTGCCAGCGAGGTACTTTTCTCGAAAAGAACAAAAAAGGACAACACAAGTTGACACACGATAATTGAGAGTTTCTGAACTTCCCACTTCTAGTTACTGTACATGGACAGTTCAGATGCAGGTTGGAGGCCATCGCTATTAGGTTTGGAGGCCATTTGGTGTCACAGGCGTGAACAGTTGTAGAGGTGTAGGTTGTAGAGCGCCAAACTGCCGTGACACGCAGCGCTCAACGTGATCACCCTGTGTCTAGATCTGGTCACCAAACCCTTGATCTCTTGGTGCAGGTTGGTGATTGGTCTGTTCAGCAAGCCGGTGCTTGCCAAGGCACATCATCACTGAGCACAGTCAGTGGCTTTTCCGCCTGCCATAGCCTCAATGGTGAACAAACCACAAACACAAAAACATGGGATTAGTTCATGTCAAGAGGGTGCTGAATCATGTTGACAAAGCACCTTTCCATCGTGACAAACCGGTTCGATGGAAGAACAACCAGCACAGCTTGATCGGTAAGTTGGATATAAACAAACCCTTGTATGGCATCTTGGCCACGGCAGGGATGGGCAAATTCAAACGAACCAAATTCAATCTAAACTCCATTTAAACTCCGGTGATCGAGGCCATCACTAGGTTAGGTATGGAATCTTCTATAGGTAGAGATCGAATCGTTTTCAACCTCGACCGCGAAACCTGTGCCAAGCCTTGAAACATAACCGTGGCCAACATCTGCTGCAATCAGGTCTTGTGCCTCCAACTCGACGCTACTAGTAGCTCCTGGCATTACTAGTAGTAACAAGAAGCTAGTAGTAACAAGTGCCACGCTAGTAGTAACAGGTGCCTTACTAGTAGTAACAAGAAGCTACTAGGGGCTCCTGGCATTTCTAGTAGCAAGAAGTTACTAGAAACAAAGGGCATCGCACAGCAATCACCAAATTGTCTTACATTGTCCTTGTCCTACCAAGACCACATTCGCCACATTGTACTCTGTTGAAGGAGTTGACCGACCTGTAATCTTCCGGAACATGGAATAGCCAGTCGATCCGTGACTCCCCGCAATTCAGCCGGTTTTGAATTATGAAATCATCCCCCTAGTAGCTTCTTGTTCCTAGTAGCGATGCCAGGAGCCCCTAGTAGCGTCCTTGCTCCTAGTAGTACGACCAGGAGCCCCTAGTAGCTTCTTGTTCCTAGTTGTTTGAAAAGGTGATTGAAACAAATTGAAATCAAGGAATCTGGCTTTGACTATTTCGTACATATTCTTGCTGGGACTTCCCTTCTGCCTCCATGCTGAGCATTTCCCCTGCAGCCTCAGGCCGTGTCCACGAAAGATTTCGTTGTGAGAAGCTGTAAACGCACATGGTGCGTGCTGATGTGTGAGTGGCAAAATGACTTTCCCTTGTTTCAATAGAGAACACAGCAAAGAATGATGACGTCACCTGCGCCTCTCTTTGTCAATTCCCGCTTCTTTGAATTCAGCTCCTCAGTGCCTCTCTGCCTGGCATTCGGCGGGGGCTTTCGCTGCTTAAGCCTGGCTTAGGGCGTTGAGGGCTTCGCCCTGCTTCGCCCTCAGAGTTCTGCTCCCGGATCACTTCCAGACATTTGGCTCTCTCTGAGACCCTCCAGGATCTTGCAAAGCTCTGCAGGCAACGGCGCTTCCACGACGAAGTCCCCTGCACGGCGTTTCTTATCTTTCAGTCCCTTACAGTACTGCAAGTCTATCTCTCTTGTCCTGCCCACCACTTTCTCTCAACCAATTCAGGATGATGGTCTGCATATAGTTAAGAGGAGGTGCTCTGAATGCATCCTTTCAGTTGGGGAATTCCAAGTAGATTTCTTTTCGCGCTCCGTGCATCTCTAGTCTATGCTTTAAGAAAGACTGCAGGGTGAGGTTTGTTGTAAAAAGAATACAAAGTAACAAGAAGCTACTAGTAACAAAGGGCACCGCTACTAGGAGCAAGAAGCTACTAGTAGCTCCTGGCCTTACTACTAGGAACAAGAAGCTACTAGTAGCCCAAAACGAACTTTTCGCCATCTTTCTGTGTTTTTGCACGCCTCCGGCAGCATCTTGCAAGGCCACGCACTGGCAGTGGAGGAAGAGACCGCAGTCGTTCTCCCGAGCCTGGATCCGATGAGAATCCACACGGATTCGAGGCACTCCGGTCGAACCAAGGCGCAGATCCATAAAGCAAATCTCCAACAATGGGCCTGCAGAATGAAAGGCGAAAAAGGCGGGTGGAAGGAGAAAGAAGGAGAAAGAAGGAAAAAGCAGAAGGGATAAAAAATGATAAAGAAGGAACATGAGAAAGAAAACGACGTGACGACGTGCCTTCCCATGCTCGCAAGATGAACTCCTCGAGTTGTGACGAATTGTGAAAAGGTGGACTTAAAGCACTCGGACGACTTGGATGACTAGTGATGCCCTTGTTACTAGTAGCTTCTTATTCCTAGTAGTAAGGCCAGGAGCTACCTTCGTAGCGTCCTTGCTCCGTTCGTAGCGATGCCCTTTGTTACGTTCGTAGCGGACTGCAACCCTCAAAAGTGTCAAAGTGTCTAGCCAAGGAGCGAAGTTGGTGCCGTCGTCCGGTCTTTGGAATGACCTGTGGAAGCTGACAACGAGCTTGTGAAAAGTCGTCAAGTCGTTTTTTCACAAGTGACCTGTGAAAAGTGACAGCCTTGCAGAGTCTGAGGGCAAAAAGAACTGGACACAATATCCTCCAACATTAAGATGCACACGACCAAAACATCTGAATAGCTTCACAAATCTCAACTCTGACGTGCACCTTGAGCAATGTGTAGGGCCCTTTAAAGACCTCCAGCACCTCCTTGGCCAGGCAAAGGCGTCCGTTGTCACGAGAATGTGGAGTCGGCACTTAAATGCGACTAGTAACAAGTGCATCGCTACTAGGAACAAGTGCCTTACTAGTAGTCACAAGAAGCTATTAGTTAATTTAACTTTAAGTTAATTCTACTTGATTTATCCAAGTCTCATAGACCGTCTCCGCGTCTTGTCCGTCTCCTTTCGCCACTTCCATGGGGCCACGCGAAGAGCGCCGTAGCGCTTGCTTTGTGCGGCCCTGTCCTCCAGGTGGACCCAAAAATCCATGGCCTTGGGCACAAAAAGGAATTGTAAAAACCGACGGAAAGATGCCAGCAAAATCGGAATGATTTGGACAGTGAATCCGGTGCTTTAACAAAGTCAAGCGTGAACGATGCACAATATGCCGACTCGCATCGTGATGCATGACTTCTTCCGCCAAAATGTGCAAACCATTCAGCCTAGTTGCAAAGGCAAATGTACTCCTTTTTGACGGACCTAAGCAAGAACAGAAACTCGGGCAGGGAGAAGTTGTCTTCTATCCGTTTGTGTCTGAGTCTTCCTTTCTATCCCAAACACTATGGTGACACCGCTGGATTTAAGCGACAGATCGTGACTCCTGGGGCGTCAGCTCCAAAAAGCTCCTAGTAGCGTCCTTGTTCCTAGTAGCGATGCCCTTTGCTCCTAGTAGCTTCCTCCAATCGTTTCCAAGTTGCTGTGCAGCAAACTGTGCACTTGCCAAGTGAAAGGCTGATTCATCGCCAAGAGCTGCTACCAAGACACCTGCTCAACTGATTTCGTCACCAATTGTGACCTTCCCCTAAACAGATTTGCTGGATGCTTTCACCATCTTTACCTTACATCCCACGTCGTAGCCTTTACGCATCTGCGAAGACCTTCAGGCAAAGACTACTAGCTGCCAGCCTGATGTGGGCTTATCCAGCCGTGACACTGCAGCCTCGAGAAGACCCGGCATATTTCTAGAAAGAAATTTCTCAGAGCGAGCCTCGAGGTTACCAAAGCTTTTGAAAGTCTGAGAAAGCTTCGTGTTTCTCATAAAACATGGACGCTACTAGGGGCTCCTGGCATCGCTACTAGGAACAAGAAGCTACCAGGGGCTCCTGGCCACACTACTGGGAACAATGTTAGAAACAAAGCTTCGAGTGCTGAAAGTTATCCAAGCTACTACAGGCAATGGGCCGAGGATCTCCTCCGTGCTGACACCTTCGGAGCTGCGCCGATGAAAAAATACATCTCCATGTCTCTTGCATTTTCTCTAATAGCTTCTTGTTACTAGTAGTATGGCCAGCAACCCCTAGTAGCTTCCTTGCTCCTAGTAGCGATGCCAGGAGCCCCTAGTAGCGTCCTCTCTTGCATTTTCTCTTAGAGATTTGGAGACTTGAGCAACTTGGGGAAGTGGAACGTTGTTTTGCTTGTTTTTGCAGAGCTGCCACCGCCATCCACCCGTGGCCTGAAGGTTTGAACACTGCAATGAGACCTGGCGCTGAAGCCAAGACTTCAACACCTTCCAGAGCTCCCAAAGGTCCTGGGCGTGCAGCTCTAGCGGCTCTAGCGAGTCCGCGGCGTATGCAGCGTATGCCACACAAGGTACAAGTAGAATGTTGAAGCTGCGGAACTGAGGCACGACATGTTTCCATCTTCTCCGTCACGTTATTTCCCTAGTTACCACGGGAAGTCTCTGCAAAACCCGAGTCCTTGCAATCGATCGGTGCCCCAAATGTGCCAAATCTCCGCCAGGAGCTGGCCCGCTCGTTGCCACTGGCTGCTTCCCTTCATAGCGCTTACCACTGAGCCTTATGCGGCTTCAATCGACTTCAGTCTTTCGGAGTCTTTCAGAGACCTTTTTGTTTCTATTAGCAAACATTGTTACTACTAGTAAGGCACTTGTTACTAGTAGCTTCTTGTTTCTAATATCAAACAACAAAGACCGCAAAGAATAGTTCTTTCATTGTCAAACATTGCCACAAAAACACACCGGGTGTATTTGGTGTGGATCGCTTCTTCCGTCGCTTCATCGAAACAGAAGCGAGGCACCGAAGTTCATGCCCTGCAGATCCAGCGCCAGCCTAAGCCATCGGGAGCACTGAAAAGACCTATCTGGTAGAGACAGGCTTGTCGATTAGAAAATGTTGTTAGCAGGCACAAAATAAAGCAATACAGTTAATAAAGAAGCAAAAATGACTATGGAAAGACACAAAAAAACAAGAAAAACCAGAGTCTTGCTCTTCAAAACTGTTGTATCGCGCAACAGGTCGCAAAAGGCTTGAAGCGACCGAGGTGCAGCCGCTTCGTCTGCAACAAGTACAGGCCTTGAGTCCAAGATCTCCGGCATGCGCTGATGGCTGCGTTGAAGGCAACTGATGAAGATTCCAGCTGCTGGCTAGACCTAAAGAGATCCCATGGCCTCCAACCTGGCCTCCAACCTAATAGCAATAACCTCCAACCTAGAAGCGATGGCCTCCAACAACCTGGAAGCAAGTAGGTTGGAGGCCATCGCTAGTAGGTTGGAGGCCATCGCTAGTAGGTTGGAGGCCATCGCTAGTAGGTTGGAGGCCATCGCTAGTAGGTTGGAGGCCATCGTTAGTAGGTTGGAGGAGGCCATCGCTTCTAGGTTGGAGGCCATCGCTAGTAGGTTGGAGGAGGCCATCGCTTCAAGGTTGGAGGAGGCCATCGCTTCTAGGTTGGAGGAGGCCATCGCTAGTAGGTTGGAGGCCATCGCTAGTAGGTTGGAGGCCATCGCTTCCAGGTTGGAGGAGGCCATCGCTTCTAGGTTGGAGGCCATCGCTTCTAGGTTGGAGGCCATTGCTAGTAGGATGGCAACTGCTGGCTAGCCTCTCTTACTCTCCCAAACAGGAAAAGTTAAGCCAAAACGATCCTTCCGAGAATCATCTGCGTCAAAACTGCAAGTGCCTGGCGTCAGAGCACTTTGGAGTAAAGAAGGGAATCTTTGCGACAATTTGTCAATTGCAGCCAGTTCTTTGGAGCCAATCACATTTGAGGTGTAGATTTTGTGGCCGCTGCGGCCTCCAGCCATCTGCTTGCCTTCGCACAGGCTGAGATGGCCGAGCTGTAGCCGACAACAGGATGTAGCTGCTCGAGCCTCAAATCATGCATCCCTTTCGCCGAATATACCATCTCAGTTCCAATGACGTGATGATAACCACAGCTAATAGTAACAAGTGCATCGCTAGTAGTAACCCCTCCGCAAATGAGCTGCTGCATCTCTTGAAGCAAGGACATTGCCCATTGCCATTGTTCACCTTTTTCACAAGCACTGATGACGGCGCTGTAGACAATCCTAACTTGACCGGCTTTAAAAACGGAGTGCAAGTGTGGATGAAAGGCGTGACTTCACATTGATGCATTTCAAGAATTTCAATAGAATGCACTTCATGTATTTTTTGCATGGGCAGGGCTTGCAGAGGCCTGCATGAAAACTGAGTCAAGTCTCTCATTGACCTGCAACTGCATGCCTTTCATGTTGCTGACCAATTCTAGTGCAGATTCCCATCGATTGCCTTGAAGAAAAGTTGTGGTCAAGATCGAACGTGTTTGCAGCAGTGAAGGTATCGAAAAACTCTCAAAACCCACTATCATCCACTATCTAAGTGTGTCGGTAGTCCTGGTCACTGCATGACAGAGCTCGTCACTGATATTTGATTTTGTGGTGCACACCAACTGACACCACCGTAAACAACAGCTCAATGATAGTCAATAGAACATTGCCAAGTCACCTTGAAAAATGCAGCAAACACTGACTTGTAAACCCCACCTAAAGCTTAAGACACTGGAAGAGCATGATTCCAAACCGCAAGAAGTTTCTGCATTTCATTCTGGTCGTTAGTAGACCTTTTCAAGCTTAGCTGTTTGCATCCCCGCCGACTAGTGCAAAGAACAGTCGTATATAATTAGCGTACTACTAGGAGTAACAAGAAGCTACTAGGGGCTCCTGGCCTCCCTACTAGGAGCAAGGACGCTACTAGGGGCTCCTGGCAGAGCAAGGACGCTACTAGGGGCACCAGGCAGAGCAAGGACGCTGCTAGGGGCTCCTGCCTGGCCTCACTACTAGGAGCAAGGACGCTACTAGGGGCTCCTGGCAGAGCAAGGACGCTACTAGGGGCTCCTGGCCTCACTACTAGGAGCAAG